AGTTTACTTTATAAAAGGTGTATGCTATAAATTTTTAGATGAAATATATTATTGTTGTTTGGTTCTATTATTGATGTATGATTTCATATTTTAACATGGCTCATCAGAGTGCAACATAAAACTAAAGTGCATTGCCTTTCGAAGTGCTGTAGGACACATGAACTAATTTCTCCACATAAAGGCCACCGGAATCACTGAGAAAAGAGATTAGAAATTTACAAAAATAAACTGCAGAGATGAAAGGACCACATCAACCTTAATATTGTTGTCCTTCAATATCCAAAACAAACTACAAATAGATTGATAATTGAAATGGAAGTTTTCTGCTATATTGTACGATGCTAAAGAAACTTCATATTTTTATATTCGAAAGCGATCACAAAAGATGCATTACATTGTTGGAGAACTATATAGAGATCCGTCGGTTAAAATTTGATACATATAAATCCAAGCTACACAACTACCCTAAATGTTAGCTCATTGTCTGGAAGCAACGTGAAACAACATATTGAACCCTCGAGAAGCCCAACATGATCTATAAATTGTTTTGCACAGCCATGCTGCATCATTATCTTACCGTGCCGTTCAACGATCTGAAGCGAATAGACAACCCCTTTAAACAGCAGGAAAGCCCGCTTAGTGTCTCTTATTTTGTTCTTGATGTGCTCCTTCCAAAAGCTCATAAGAATGTGCTGCCAAAATTCAGTGATAATAACTAAATAAGTATCTCATAATTGTTGCACGTAATTATTAACTAATTGCATTATATTATAGAGAGGAGGAAAGTGGGTTACGAAGCGTGCACGCTGAACATGCATTTTCTTTGCATGTAATATGAAACGATGCTGCTGACGCCTCTCAACAGCATTATAAGTCCCAACTGTGACTGTGAAGTTTTTCGGGGTTGTACGTTTGAAAAAAAGCGTGTAGTTGCTGCGTATGTCCTCGAAACGAACAAAGAGTTCCCACCCATCTGCAAAGTGTACACGGTTGTCCACCAATTTCATGGTAACCTCATAGTCGTGCCCTTCTTTGCTTGTCAAGGTACAGAGTAACGGCACATGAGCATTATATTGGCCGTGCATAGCGCCCGGCAACAACTGCAAGAATTGGGAGATTATTTTATTAGTTTATGAAGATAAGAACAAAGCACAGGTGTTTACGGAGACAAACATGATAAATAAATCATATTTTGAAGTTGTAAGCTATATTCCACACAAATATTACCAGTG